GGGTGGTATTTGCTTGTCTTTGTCGTCCCGTATCAAGGCAGTCTAAGGGCAGTCATGCTGGATTCAGAGGTCGATACTCTGATACAGGCTTGCAGCTACTGTCCCATGACAAAGCATGTCGTTAACATTGATGTCAAGGTGGATCCCGACGTTCAGGATTGTGTGCTGTTGGAGCTGCCACATGGACATTGTTGTCAGGGAGACTTGGCCCCTTAAACCCTAAACCCCAAACCCTAAACCCTAAACCCTTGGAGTGCTTGTGTGCTAACGTTATCGGGCCTCGCCTGAAGAACGGCAGAAGAGGCAATGCTGGCAGTCATCAAGTCCGGGTTCAATAGGGGGGGGTTTAGGGTTTAGGGTTTAGGGTTTAGGGTTTCAATAGGGGGGGGGTGTATGCCATGAGTCGTTTTCGTTATAATATCAGCCCAAGGCGTTGTTTGGAGTAACAGTTTTACTCTAGGTTGAACTGAAGGGGGCTGTAGAAAAAGCAATCATAAACCCAGGGGGGGGGGGTTTAATAACATATGTCGATTGGGGCATAAGGGGCTGAACAAATCGCGGAATAGCTAGTAGTACTAATCGCACCAAGTGTAACGATTAATTCAGTCCGAGTTCCCAAGCCTCGAAGTTGCTATTCTACTCATTAAGGCCCCTAATATAGAAGCCCATTATAGATCCCTTATAGTATCCCTTTATAAGAATCCCTTTGTTGCTGTCGGAGGCACCTATACCTTTGACATCCACCTCTGCCAGGGCGAGTGCGGCCAGGAGCTCAGAGACTCGGGGCCTTCCAGACTCGACAGGTTTAGGGTTTAGGGTTTAGGGTTAGGGTTTAGGGTTTAGGGTTTAGCAGCAGCAGCGGGAGTAGCAGCAGCAGTGGTAGTGGTAGTGGTAGTACTAGTACTAGTACCAGGGAGCACTAGTACTAGTATGAGTATATGTAGTTTTTAGTCTTATTGTCATTGTTCTGAGACGGTGCCTAGGAAAGGCCGGCCTTGCGAGTGCCAAGTGGGTCACACACACACACACCAAGGGAACCCTACTAAAGCTATTTCAAATCCAGTTTTCAGGAAATCGCCCAACCTGACATACATACATATGTATGTATACACACACATACCTATATATATATATATACATATATTCATATATAGGTATTTAAAAATGTATACATAAGACAAGCGAAACTGACAGGATGCCCGACTCAAAATTCACTTGTCAAAGATTACCTCGAGCTTCATCAAAGCGTCAGAAACGAGTCTGGCAGAACCCTCCTAGAACCTCATGGAACCGCTTGAAGGGACTCCTTGAATCCTAAAGGTCCGAAATCCGAGAGAGTCGCAGCCATGCGAGCGGGCAGAAATCCTCTCGAATGCTTCCGAGGCTCGAAGCATCCGCACTCAAAGGCCGGCTGGGGAAGTAGGGCTTGAGGGCATGATAATGGAGGTATGATGATTAAAGTAGAGGGTTTCTGAGTTCTGGGTGAATTACGGTATAGTCATAGCACGTAATAACCCTAAGGAATAGCATTGCTACTGTTTCGGGCTTCTGTAGGTTGGCTTGGGAGGCCTAGGGGTTTTGGGTGTTGAGGCTTCAGGTTTAAGGTTTAGGGGTTTAGGGTTTAGGGTTTAGGGTTTAGGGTTTAGGGTTTAGGGTTTAGTGTGTGGTGGCTCGAGGCTGTCGGGGTTGAGGGTGTTGGCTTGAGGTTTTCAGGTTAAGGGTTTAACTTTAGGATGCGTGGCTTATGAGAAGAGGGTTCTGGGGCCCAATCTACTATAACTATATAATTGGGAGCCACCAAAATAGTATAGGCCCTACATTAGCGTGCTGTTGGCCTGTGTATAACAACCCGAGGAAGATAGACGCAAGGACGGAGGTTTGCGTTAAGGCGTCCAGCACTTTGACATGAGCGTTCGGTACCGGTGTGCTTAGGAATCGGCAAACAATGGAGGCAAAGCATCAGGCTGCAAAGTAGGTGCACTCTACATAAACTTGAAACCGACATAATAGCTCCTACTATTCCGTAGGGCTCGTATTATAGTTATAGCATGGTACACCCCGAGACCCTGTTGCAATCATGAAGGCCTCTTTATTGCGGCTCTTGATCAGGACTTTGGCACAGCCACCGGCAATTTCACCCTGAAGGACGGAAGAAGACAGGTGTGGGTAGTACTGGGTCCCAAACCCAAATAACCAAGAGGCAGAAAAAGGCGGCCTTCGTACATCTCAAGCCCAAAATATATAGAATAGATATATGTAGTATATACTTACATATATACATACATACATATATATATATATATATACATACATACATATTAGTTATCCTAAACCCCCCAAAACGTAACCCTCTAAACTCTAGTATGTTTGTTTACATGATTTGCCGCCTTCAGCGGTCTCTGACAGAAATCTGGCAAGCAAGGGTCTTTCAGCTTCTTGGATCCTAGCGTCAACACTGAAGTCACTAGAGTCGTTTAGGGTTTAGGGTTTGGGGAGTCACTAGAGCCCAAGCAGAATGACGGTTTCGGGTTTAGGGACTCATACTTCATAATCGATACTACTAGACAGTAGTACCTCAAACCCTAGACCCAAAAATCGGGGTTCCCCCATGGAGCTCAAGGGCCATCTGCGCACGTGATACCTGTATCCTACTTGGAGGTTCATGCGTAGTTATATTTCCCCTAATATGGGTTATAATCATACTTGCGCTACTTATAACCCCACTTATAACTACCCATGAACCTCCAAGTATCCTACCCCCTAAACCCTAAAACCCTAAACCCTAAACCCTAAATCCCACCCCATCGATTTCGGAGTACACCGCAGAGGGCTCGTCAAGATGATCTCGACGTTCCTTCGGCAGAAGTTCTTCCTAAATCAAGATACTAAGAACTCTAAATTAGGGTTTAGGGTTTTAGGTTTAGGGTTTTGTGCCAAAAACAATAAATAGAATTAGAGGAAAAATGATAATGATCGGAAGAAGAAGAATGTAAGGCAATCCAACATCCAATCTCTCGAAGGAGGCACTCGTGGTGGTGTGAGTGGCAGCGCGGGCGGCTTTTCCCATAGAGGTTTCGCCCACCCGCATTCGGCAGCTCGTTTTGGTGCTCTGCTTGGGAGCACCTGAAGAAAGGCCTGCCAGTTCCCGCAGCGCGATGCAGAGCTCACGCACAGATCACCACAGAGCAATCCACCTTTCCCTGTTAAACACTTGCTCGCAGACGACGTGGCGCGACTCATGCATCTTGCGTCATGCGCAGTTTTGATGACATGTTTAGGGCCTATAGCATTTGCGTTTGAAGCGGCCCTCGATGTTTCGCAGGCAATCTTCCTCGTGGCAGCCATGGGCCGTAGTTCGGGGTATACCGGCATGACCCTTCCCTCACATACTACGTACAGGTAATACCCACACGCCCTTTCCCAAGTGAACCTGGGGAAACCACCGGCCAGCAGACACATCCCCAGCCCTCTGAAGTAAGGCTGAAGCACGTTGCTACAGAGAGGCTTGCCCCTGCTGAGACCAGAACTTCCAGTACTGCATGTAGCACCAAATTGGACCGAAGACAAACTGGGGCATACGTAGGAAAGCCTCGCAGCATTTTAAGTAGCCAGTCTGGTAAGTCGCGAAGAGTTCGAATCTGTAAGAAGGATAACTAGTGCTGCAACTCCCTGAATTGTCAGTTGTGGTTCACGACATTGAGCCTCCAAGTTTAGCATATAAGTTGGCCATAAAAGAATCTGACTCGCTTTGGCTCAGGCTGTGGCTGCTTGCATGTCATGTCAGACCGGGGATTGCAAGCAGTGAAAGGGCGTGCCAAAGCAATTAGCAAAGTACTAGACTGGGAGCTGGGATTAGGGGGACTCTTGGGGATATAGACCCTCTCAATAAGGTCCCGTTTAAGAGAGCCAAGACTAGGGTTCAGAAGGGGTACCCTTTAAAGGGTACCCCTAATAATACTACCTGTAGACAAAGCCAGCCTGAAGCTGCAAAGGGCGGAAGCCACCAGCAAACATCTCTGTCGAAGCAAGAGGAGCCTTTGAAAATAACAGTCTACCATAGCAGCAAAAGGACGGCAATCTCGTAGCCGCCAAACCGGGCCGCTCCTCGAAACCAGTTGAATGTAGGCAGCCTACCGTTTAGTATGGTACAATTATATTAAACTGAGCATAGCCTTGTACACGGAACCCCTGCAGTCGGATCATTCCCAGAACTTACACACGTCGTGCTGCCAAGCATCGAGTCTAAGATGCTGAAACACCTACGGGCTCCCGAACAAAACAATGACAAAGGTCCACAAACTACCAGCCAGCAATGACTGTTTATAGAAACATACAGAGAGAGAGAGAGAGAGACATTGATATATATATATATATATCGATATTACATGTTTACATGTTTACATATGTACATATACATATGTACATATACATATACATACATACATATGTATGTATGTATGTATGTATGTATGTATGTATGTATGTATGTATGTATGTATGTATGTATGTAGCTGTCTCCCTCGCGTTGTTGGCATTTGTTTGTACGACTAGACTAGCTGCATGTTGTCGAGCCTATGTATACACACTCCACGTCGATTTTGTATGCAGACAAACGGACGCTTTCTCTTCGAAAGCCGCCGAAGGCCTGAACCTCCGAAGTGGACGCTTCCAGGGCGGACACAGAAAGCTTACGTAAGGGATAGCAGCATAAAGTCCAGGCTTAAGCTTCGGAGGTTTGGGTAGGACCAGTGGACCTAGTAAGGCTAGTGACTCCAGCTCTGAAAGTCCCAGAAATCAATGACTACACGAGCACATAGAGATCCATACTGCACATATATATATATATATATCTCTCTATATATATATATATATACACATCCAAACTCTTCCCTAAATCCGAACCCTAACCTCTTCCTCCCAAACTCTTCAGCCCTAAACCCTAAACCCTAAACCCTAAACCCTAAACCCTAAACCTCATAACTTTCTATGTCCTTCGTCAGGGCAGCCGCCCGATGCTCCACGGCAGTTTCCATGCCTGGGCCCACAAGGCCCTCGAAACCAGACGGTGCTTGGAGGTTCATGGGTAATTAGGGTTTAGGGTTTAGGGTTTAGGGTTTAGGGTTTAGGGTTTAGGGTTATAAGTCCCCTAATCTAGGTTATAAGTACATTCATGGGTATAATTAGGGTTATAAGTCCCTAAAATATAGGTTATAAGTACAGTTACCCTACTTACAACCCTACTTAAAACTACCCATGACCCTCCAAGTAAGGGATCGGGTTAGGGTTTAGGGTTTAGGGTTTAGGGTTCAGGGTTTAGGGTTGAGGGTTTAGGTTTTAGGGTTGAGACAGCTGTCCTGGCGTGACGTTGCAAGCCAGTTGCATGAGGGTTTAGGGTTTAGGAATTAGGGACATTGGCCGGGCGAGCTCCAATCAAGCCTGTTTAAAAAAAGGAATTAGGGTTTAGGGTTCAGGGTTCAGGATTTCAGTGCATAAATGCTTTGGTTTCCAGCAGGGGCTCTTGCAGGCAGGATGCAAAAACTTCTGTAAGGAATGAAAGGGTCCCAGCTAAAAGATGGGAGGGCAGCAGGCAAGAGGAAGGCAGGAGGTGGGAAGTGGGAGCGATGTTGACAACCCCGGGCCACTTCTAGTATCATTTTGGTGAGATATTCTGCGTTGCGGACCTTTTCGGTTGAAGATGCGCTGCGGGAGGCGATGAAATATTGTTGAAACAGCCATGGGCATCTTCCTGACATCACAGCTTCTAAGGCATATATAATCTGTCCTATCACCCAGGGGTTATACTTAAACGAAGTCGTTTGAGCGCGATCCGTAGTAAAGGGATAGCTGGGAGGTGGCCTCCAGGAAGAGCGAAGCCAAGCGCTGCGAGGAGAATCTCAGAGGGCTCTAAGCCCTTTTGCGCTCGTTTATTGTATAAATCCCTTATTCAAACTTGAATAACACCTAGATTGAAGGCTTCAAGGGCTTACTGGTGTTAAGGGGGTACAGGCCGCTTGGATTCAGTTTTGCTAGTCGGTGGTTTTTTGAGCGGGCATCGTTGAGGGGTTCGAGACTTCAGCCTAGTGTTATTGTCCATCGCATGTGCTCTGGCTAGTCGTGACCTGTGCTGAAACCTGTTTTACTCCCATGATTGTGGCATGTAGGCACCTTACGGAGGAATTTCTATGACCCTGAAATGTGCAACCTTTTTCCTGGAAGCTAGTGTATACCCTGCAGTGTGCAAAGCGAAAAAGCGCAAACCTTCATCCTAAACCCTGCAGCCCTGACCCTCTCAAGCTTAAAGCCCCTTGCACCCTCGAGGAGGAGACGCGTTTCAGCTACTTGCAAGCCATCTTCCGTGCCTGGGCCACGCTGGCTGCGGTGGGGGACCTATCATCTTTGATCATCGGCGCTGTTCCTCAAAAAGACGGCGGTGGTCAGTTGAGCTCTGAAGGGTCTCACAAGGGTTGTGCAAAGATTTCATACCGGGGCTTCTTGGACCGCATCCACCGAAAACGCCGAGGCGGGACACCAGTCGAAGGAGTTGGAGCAGGAGAAGGCAGCAGGGTGCTCTTTGTTTTTTCCACGGTGTTTCAATTGTTGATGGTTGTTTAACACGAAGGTGTTGCCGGGTGCCCCTTTTCTTTAAAGGCTCCTTCAAGGGTCAGTGACGGGGGGTACCTTATACGTACATAGAGAGAGCGAGAGAGAGAATTCAATCAACTAGGTGCTCGGAGGAGAGGGCTTGTGCCTTGTTGTTGTTTTTTCATTAGGGGATTGAGGTTTGGGAGGTTCAAGGGGCTTACTACGGAGGTGGCGAGTTGAGTTCTTTGCACCCTGATTGAGCGTCTTCTGCTCACGTGGGCTCCTGCTGCCTCGAAGTAATGTTCCAAGCAGAGTTTGGGGCAGGGCTGGGTGCCTATGAGCCGAATGAAGGGGGCTTTGGAGTGCAGCAGGAGTTTGAGATCACAGTTGCCTGATTTTGGCCCTGTTATCCTGTACAGTGTTCAGAGTGCTTGATAGGGCTTCTAAGTCTTGTTTGGAATCTAGGGGTTTATCGGAGTTTACAGTGGGTTGAACACGTCTTGTATGTTCTACAGTACGTGCTGTTATGTAGCTTGAGGCTGCAGGCCTTGCTTACGTGAAAGTGAAAGGTTCAGGTTGGTAGACATGAGCAGGAAAGTCAGCAAAGGAAGTCAGACTTTAGGCTAACCCTGTGTAGCTGTTGATGCAGCAGTGCAGACTCTGTCTGCCCCAAAGGACGAGAGCCAGAGGTGTTGTAGCCGCGACTGCCGGGGAGGATGTGAACATGTCGGAGTTTCAGGGGATAGGGGGCACTAATGCTAAATCATGATGATTACTTTACACTCCAAATAGTCGGATCCTCTGTGAAAGGACCCCTCAACAAGGCATTCCTTATAGTCTCCAGCAACCCCTATGCCTGCTGCCTGTTTGCAGGAAAGGCTTCGACAGGAGCAGGACTCACTGCAACATACCCCATGCTCTTCGAGCTTGACGTCAAGGGGCAGAGGTTCTTCTGCATGTCAGTTCTGGCTGTGCTAAGCTGTAGCCCTGCGACTGTTACAGAGGCATCGAAGCACTCCGGAACTCTCGGATGCCTCGAATTCCAACGTCATTCCGTGCCGTGCCACAGGAGCAGCTGAAAAAGGAGATCGAGGACGCCTTCAGCTAGGGGGGAAAGCATGTAGCCGAGGACATCTCGCCCATCAGGTAGCTGAGTAGTTAGGGTTTAGGGTTTAGGGTTTAGGGTTTAGGGTTTAGGGTTTAGGGTTTAGGGTTAAGAGTAACTCCTACTACTAAGTCCCCGGCTCTTCGAACTAAACAGTATATGGAAGGGGCTGCGAGGGCTCTAAGACAAGATTCCTCCCTTGCGGAACCGAAGGAGCAGAGGCTGCGTCAGTCCAAGATTCGGCAGAGCATGCTCGGATTCGCAGAGAACCAGGCATCGGGTATCATGCTATTTTAAAGTGGTTGTACAGTATATAGACTGGCTTATAAATTATAGGGCTTCGCGTTTTATAGAGCTTCAGGCTCTACTAGCGGGTTGTCAGGTTTTGCAATGTGTTGGGTAGAAACGTGGATTGGGATATCGTTTTGGGGATCCCAATGAAGAAGTATCTTATGTTTAGGGGCCAGGTTCCACCGACCCCCTTGACTCCCAAATGTTCTGAACTTCTTACCATGCTTCCGGCCGTGCAGCGCCTGAGCCGAGTCACATTGCTTGGAGATTCATGCGTAGTTATAAGTGGGGTTATAAGTAGGGTAGCTGTGGTTATAACCCATATTAGGGGTCTTAGAACCCCACTTATAACTAGCCATGAACCAAGCAGAAGTGGCTCTGTGGACCGGCAGGCAAACCAGTACGTCATCCTGGGCCGCGAACTCAGCCATGGATGGTCGGAAAAAACCGTTTTTCCATCTAGGGTTTAGGGTTTAGGGTTAGCTGGCCGACGAGTGGCTACCTACCAGGCGTTATTGCTTGCAAGCCTGCAGCAAAAGGGACTGCAAAAGGGTTTAGGGTTTAGGAATTAGGGTTTCGGGTTTAGGGTTTAAAGTCTTGACAGCAATACCGACAATAGTACTAACAGTGATGATAGAAGAATTCTTTTGAATCCCGGAGCATAAAATGTAGTATGGTATACCCCAAACGCCTTCGTGCTGCAAGTAGCAGTTCCCAGCACGGAGAAGTTGAGTTGAGTACGAATGCAGCGGCTGCGGGCTTCATCCACGGGTTTAGGGTTTAGGGTTTAGGGCTTAGGGTCTAGGGTTTAGGGTTTAGGGGTTTAGGGTTGGACGTCCTGTTGTCACTGCAAGTCTACTTCCGCGTGCGCAAAAAAAGCAGATCCGTTCAACAGGCAGAGGGCAAATCAGTCGTTGGACCCTCCCCCAAACTCTAAACCGGAACCAATAGACCGGAATCGTTGGCCAAGGCATGATTTGGTCTTCCTGGAAAGAGCTTCTTCTCGAGAAGAGGCTAGCGCCGATTTTCCGACTGTAGAACCTCTTGATAACAGGCACCGACTCTTTTTCTCTGTTTTGTCTCCGCCGCCACCCTTGCCTGAAGAGCTCGCTCTCTCTCTCTCTCTCTTTCCGTCTGCCTCCCTCCAAATCCCCCTGCTGGCACATACAGGTATCTCTTCGGATGTGTGTGCGTGTGTGCGTGTGAGAGAGTGTGAAGGTGTTTGTCGGTCTTTGTTTGAAGTCAACCTCAATTTCTTTCTGTGGTTCGGTAGTTCGTTATGACGTTATGGTGTCATTTCTTTGTTTGTTTGTTTGCTTCTTTATTTGTTCTCGTGTGTGTGCGTGTGTATGTCTGCACCCATGGCATAGAATATAGTCTTTCACAAAGGGAAGTACACCTGAACACGCGTCTATCAACCACACTTTGATTTGTTTCTATCTGGTCACTGTCCGCACATGGAAACCGGCAAGGTGGCAACAGTCGCAAACTGTCCCGAAGCATGGCCTGCATGTGACCTGCGAGGCTACTGGCCGAGCGCCTGGGGCCTGGAGGGGCTTGCAGAGTTTATGGCTCACATGTGGCCTCTTAGAACTCATCGCCCTATTGTTATAACCGTGGATCCTACTACGCTTGGCCATGGGCCTGAAACTGATTTTTTTGCGACTAGGTTAGAGTAATGAGCGTGCAGGGGCTTGAGCACAGACTTAGGGATTGTGGACTACTTCCTTTCAGTCTGGTCTGACACAGCACGTGGCCTACGTCGGTCCCACGACAGAATATCGCAACCACCCACGGCAGGGTCAAGGCATAGTTTGCTCTGTGCAAACTCTCAGCGGCCAAGAACGGTTACCCCAGAGTTCATGAAAACCCTGGAAAGTCCTATCATCCCCAAGCCAATTCAGCAAGCGTCACCGTCCCCTTCGGGCCCCGCGTCTTCGATTTGCTACTTACCACATCACTGCCTCAAAGCTACCTGTTAGATCTTGTGATTCTTGAAGCGTCGTCGGCCGCGCACTGTAGATGAGTAAAAGCTGAACCTTAGTCCCTGAAAAGTTCTGTTCAGATTCCATTCAGATTGCCCCTAAACCCTAAACCCTAAACCCTAAACCCTAAACCCTAAACCCTTTTTCCGTTGGTTTCGCTCCCAGACAATGCCGAGCGCCAGCAGTGGGAGCGTGAGTTCGAGGACTCGTGGACATGAAGGGCCCCTGGGAGTCTCCTGGGTAGTTATAAGTGGTTTAGGGTTTAGGGTTTAGGGTTTAGGGTTTAGGGTTTAGGGTTTAGGGAGTTATAAGTATTGTTATAAGTCCCCTAGTTTGGGTTATAATTCTATTTGCCCTTCTTATAACCCGTTTATAACTACCCATGAAGCTCCAAGTAGGAGTCTCTAGATGTTTCAGGTTTCTCAAATTTGGGGCTTCCTGGGAGGGTCGGGCGTTTGGGATCCTCCGATTGAGGGATTCCCCATCTTTGTGAAACTCCTCCATGGACTGATGCATCCATCGTGACTTCGTCGCAGAAACGTGCCTTTTTTGTGTCAGCCTCTTTGCGGTTTTGACTCGTATCTGCCCACTGGAAGCTTCAGGAAGATAGCTTGTGTTCCGCTCCCCGGTTTCTTTTTAGATGTCCCAATGGTTTGCTTGATGCCCAGGAGCGACAGGAAGCAGAGAGGAAGAGCCTGAGGCCATGAAGACGGAGCGTTCATCGCAGATGAAGACCCTAAAGCACAGGGACTCTGTAGCAGGTACGTGGCGGGAGCGGCCAGTGGATACTGTTATTAGATTTTTAAATCCAAAAAGGACATGGCTCTTCAATTTGGATTGCGAAGTGCTCCAGCTTGCAGCTTCCTGTTTCCAGGTCCACTGCTCGCAGCTTAGCTTTTGGCTCAACCCCTCGGTTTAGGGTTTAGGGTTTAGGGTTAGCCTACTCCCTGACATGCACCCCAAATCCCATCCCTAACTGGATCTGAGTCGCCAGCTCTCCTGCCGATCCAGCCGACCCTGCAACCACGAGCTTATCAGCCGTGTCAGCTGGTATGGCAAGAAGCCATTGCTTCAGGCCCCCAAACCCCTAAGCCACAACTCCAACCCCGAAGCCTACCTCCCCATACCCCAAAACCCCAAACCCTCAACCCTAAACCCTAAACCCTAAACCCCAAGCCCCAATATCACCACAACCTTCTTAGCCCCCAGCACTCTGCAACGCACTCGGCGTGGAAGAGCAATGAGAGGCTCGGCTCCGGGGGTAACAAGAGGGGTTGCTACATGGTTTAGGGTTTAGGGTTTAGGTTTAGGGTTTAGGGTTTAGGGTCTAGGTTTAGGGTTTAGGGCGGTTTAGGGTTTAGGGAGTTTCCAGAAATTAGGGTCCCTTATTTTTGGGTCCTTATAAAAAGGGGTCCTACTATATAGGGTACTATATTGGGGTCCCCTATTGTCGGAACCCCCCCACATTTTTGGGGGGTTTAGGGTTTCACGAGTCGCTCGCTCACCTAGGACCTAGTGATTGTGTCCTTCCCGGCTGAGTTGTCAAGGGTTACCATACGGGCTACGGTAAGGATTGCTAGAAGCCTTGCCATAGCTGTTACCATAAGGGTTACTGAGAGGCTAGCATACACAGCACTTTAAGGGTTACCAGATCCTAAATCCTAAAACATTGTTACGCGGAATGCCGCAGCAACTTCGTCGCAGTGAGACTCCTGGTCTGCCCTGAACGTAGTTCAGCCGTTCGGATAGCTGTTGTCGTCTGCTTTATTCGAGGGCTGAGACGGCACTCACTGAGACCAGATAGTAGATGAGGAGAGAGGTAGGTTTAGGGTTTAGGGTTTAGTTTCAGATGCGTTGATCGGCGGATGCGAAAGCTGGCTCCGCAGTAAAGCCGCTAGGGCTGCTTGCTCCAACTCCGGGCGAAGTGGAAAGCCTGTTGCAAAAGGGTTTAGCGTGACCCCGACTTGGTCTTTTCGCTTCGGGTGTCTTGTTGCCTAAACTTAGCTGGGTGCAGTTGTTATGTCTGCTACCGTACCTCTCTGGATAGTCGCGGTCACGGACCCTCAAACCTAGTGTCACCCGACCCGAACCTGCGGATCCTCGCCTAGCCAGTCCGAGTTGTGAGAGCGTAAAACATCGTTACAGAAGATCTTAATTAGCCAAATCCCAAGGTTTGTCCACAAGAGCATTGACCGGCGATTACTGGGTTCGGAAGCTATACCCTAGGTCTCCCAAAAGTGCCGTGAAACCCTTTCTGTGTCTCCCTATTACGACTGACGTGTAGACCGTTCAAGCCCCATGCCAGGCACACAATGCATGGGCTCGAAGAATTCGAACATTATTCCCTCGTGGACTTGTTGTAACTACATGACAATATACCCCGAAACCCCATTCTCCTTGTCGGCATATACCAGAGTAAACCTCCTGCCCTCCTTGAGGCGCCTGAATACTGCATACTCAGAACAGTCGAATCAAGCAAATACTTGCACATATAAGTTAAGCATGTATACATGTATATATGTTCATTTGTTTGTGTATTTATGCTTGTTTCTATCAGTTTGTGTAAAGATAGACAAGTACATATATATATATATAGATGGATAGATAGATAGATAGATAGATAAATAGATAGAAAGAAAGAAAGATAGATAGATAAGTAGATAGATAGACAGATAGTTAGATAGATACAGAGGTGGGTAGATATAGTGTTAGAGGCAGATGATACTGATTATGTGCCAGATATAGCTATAGGCGAGGATTTCTACATACGCACTTACATATGTAGATGTGATATATGTTTGGCTTCTTGATACCCTAAACCCCACAGGCCCCAAAAAACCGACACGACCCCCCAGGGCGATGAACCTCCTCGCGCTGCCCTTGGAGCGCGACCAGATCTTCTCCATCAAGCGGCGGTTCCCGGGGTTCTCCGGGAAGGCCGGGAGGCTTCCGTGTTGTCAAGGGGATTTATATGGGATATCCGGGTCCCCTAAACCCTAAACCCTAAACCCTAAACCCTAAACCCTAAACCCTAAACCCTAAACCCTAAACCCTAAACCCTAACCTAATTTTTGCTTATGTGCTTTTTTGGGGCCCTAGTTGTCTTTCAACCCAGAGACTCCCAGAACCCCCCTTTCTTAGGCTTGCTATTCGAGGGATCCTCGAGGAGGTCTAACTCAAGTTATATTACAAAATGGTTTAGGGTTTAGGGTTTAGGGTTTAGGGTAGAAGGCATTTAAATTTCCTTGGATGAGTTTGAAGCAGGTTGAGGAGTTTGGGGTCGACCAGGCATACTGTAGTCTCCGGCCGGGGAGCTAGGGAGATTGCTGAGCTCAAAGGGGAGGTGGCCACATACAGCCAGCAGGGTTTCCAGAGCATCGAATGGCCCGCTTCTAAAAAGGACCCATGATTTAGGAGCCCTTATAAATCCAGAAAAGGATTCTGTGATCCAGAAGCCCTGATATTTCAGGATCCAAGTATGTCGGGCCCGTAAAAATTCGCATCCCACTCTCCCTCTCAGGTGCCGGAAGAGGCGGCGTTTTGGTCCGAGGCAGATCTGGAAGCCTACTTCGGCAGTAATGGTCAGGCGCTGAGATGCACGACGCACAGGGTTTTATCGGAGTTTACAAGGTGCTGATGCGGGTGTTTATAGGTTGTCAGAGGTGTTTGTGGGGTAATGTGCGGGGCTTATGAGGGTCGTATAAAGGTCACCGGTATTATCCTCTCCGGGTTTTTGCCAGGGGCGTCCTGCAGACATCCAATGCCCTCTGCAGAAGGTTCAGAAAAGACGGAAGATTGACATACGGCCCATCTAGCAGGATCCTTGTTGCGAGGAACCAGAAACAATGCTAATGTCTCCTCCCTTACATATGTAGTGTACTATGATACGCTCCACAACTCGATGCTAATTATTCATGCCCGGCCGGGAGGAGGGATTGACCACAGGGAATCGGGTAGCCCTAAACCGCCACATGTGAATTACCGTTGCCTGGATCCCTTATGAGCCTTGTAGGCCCTCTGTAAATCCTGTAAACCTTACACGTCCCAGTCGCAACGTAAGCACTGTACACGGAGCCCCTGCACCGCAAGGTCAGAAGAGACCGTGACCCGGCTTGAAAGCAGAGCTGCTTTTTTATGCAAGGGCCGAGGTCATCTACTCAACATTCCATCTAAAGCCAGGCCCGAATTAAGACACATACAAAGTTGAAAAAAGATATCCTCCACTCTAAACTCCTTCCTAAATCGCCCAAAGAAATTCCGACATAATCACTCTATGCACCATCGATGCCCTCGGGTCTTCCTGAAGGGCAGAAACCACGCAGGGAGAATGTTCTCCAAAAAAGGTTTGCATTTACGGTCCGTTCATATGTTGAGTGTTAAGCAGAAGTATGAAGGTACGAGAAGGCGATTTCATATAATTGCTCACCACTCAGACTTTGTGTTGGCATTTGTAGCTGAGATCTCCAGCTTCGCTAGCAGTTAGCTTTCCAAAGAATGCTAACCCTTCTATCAAAATTCATGCAGTGATGCCCTAAACCCTAAACCCTAAACCCTTCAAGGGAACGTACGACTTCTGGACTGGCTTCTCTGTTTCTAAAGTCACTCACAAAGCTCAACCCGATATTTCTGGTTTCAGTGGGTCTAGGGTTTAGGGACCTCGTTCAAAAA